TTCTGTTTGAATTTTGGTTTAGCAGAAAAAGCATTACTAGTATACTTAATGTCATGTGTGTGCCCATAGGTGAAGTGAGAGTAGAGAGGTGTGTGTTTTATGATCATATCCTTAACTTTCTTAGGTTGAGATACTTTACCCTTTTATCCTATTCCTTTTCTGCCATTTCTGCTAACTCCATAGATCATTGAAGCCATCTTGCTTCTATCTATGTTTTTAGCAAGAAATTTTTGAAAGTTATGATCACATTCCTTCATGATCTTATCAGAGTTACTAGGAACTTCTGAGACAGTTTCTTTCTGAGCCTTTTTTAATTTTCTAGTTTAGAAATTTTTTCTTTAAGCTCAGAGTTTTCTGATCTCAGTTTCTTAGTTTCTTCAGAGTCAGAAACTAGATCATTTTTCAAGTTCTTGTTTATGACTCGAAGTTTTTGATATCTTTCAAGAATTTCTAACAGTATTTCTTCTAATTTTAGATCTAGAAAAGTTAGAGAATACCTCTTATGCCTCTGAGTCTGATTCTGATCTAGATGATCCAGTGTCATCTGACACGTTGGCCATTAGGGCTATGTTGGCTATTTCATCTTCTGATTTTGTTTCAGCTTCAGAAGAGTCTGAGTCATCCCATGTTTCCATGAGGGTTTTCTTCTTTTCCTTAAATAACTTCTTTTTAGGTTTCTCTTTTTGAAGATTTGGACAGTCACTTTTGTAATGTCCTTGTTCATTGCATTCGTAGCAGACAATGTCTCTGTTACTTGATTTTCTATATCCAGAAGATGGTTCAGAATGATTCCCTGTTCTTCTAGAAGTTCTGAACTTCCTCTGCCTGTGCTTCCACAAATGATTGACTCTTCTGGAGAGAAGAGATAGTTCGTCTTCTTCTTATGAGGATCCACCATAGTTTTCTTATTTTGCCAGCAAAACTTTCGGTTCATATTTTTTGTTAGATTTAAGACCTAAAGACTTGCCTTACTTCTGGGGCTCATATTCTTATAACTCTATCTCATGACTTCTCATGGAGCTGACAAGTTCTTCGAGAGAGATTTTGTTCAGATCTTTGGCCAGTTTAAGAGTTGTGACCATGGGTCTCCATTTCTTGGGTAAACTTCTGATGATCTTTTTTACATGATCAGAAGTTGAGTACCCTTTATCCAGAACTTTTAGCCCAACAACCAGAATTTGAAATCTTGAGAACATTGTTTCATTGGATTCATCTTCCGTTTTGAAAGCTTCATACTTATGAGTGAGAGCAAGAGGTTTGGTTTCTTTGACTTGTGTATTTCCTTCATGTGTCATTCTCAAGGAGTCAAATATGTGTTTTGCTGACTCTCTGTTTGTGATCTTCTCATACTTTGTGAATGAGATAGCACTCAAGAGAATAGTTTTGGCCTTGTGATGATTTCTGAATTCTCTCTTTTGATGATTTGTCATTCTTTTTCTGTCAATCTTCTGACCGCTTTCATCAACAGGATGTATGTACCCATCAGTCACCATATCCTAGAGATCAGTGTCATGAGCTAGAAAGAAACTTTGATTCTGTCTTTCCAGTAATCAAAGTTTTCACCATCAAAGATTGGAGGTTTGTCACTGATTTTGTATTTCTCATCATGGTAATTATTGCTGATGTTCTGACTTGGTCCCACCATAGTGTTTTTCTTGCTTGGATCTATTTCTGACACGGTTAAGTGCTTGTACTCAGAACCAGGCGCTCTGATACCAATTGAAGAATGGAAAAACACAAGAAGGGGGGGGTGAATTAGGATTTTTTAAACTTAAAGTAAAAAACATGTTGCTTATCCTGGTTCGTTTGAACTAAAACTACTCCAGTCCACCTGCCAAGGTGATTTCTCCTCTCTCAATGAGGCCTTAATCCACTAATCAAACTTGATTACATAGTTACTATGACAACTATCAAAGTATTCTTGAGTTTAAACCACAACTCGGTTTTCTCAAGGAATTACACAATATAATATTTGAAAGAGTGTACAAGATGTGATTTCTAACAAAACAGTATCACACAAGTGATGTTTTACACAAATGAAATTCAGTAATTTGAAGGTGATAAAAATATCTCGCTTGTTGTGCACACAAAATAGTAAATGATTTCTCCTTCAAGCTTTGTTTATATAGGAAATGCATGTGGGAGATTTTGGAATGTTGATAAATAGTAATTAAAGAGCTTTCCAAAAATAGAGATTCTTGTCCCCTTTCAGCCGTTACTTTTGAATAGCCATAAGTGAATTGTAACACTTCAGAACATGCTTGCTTAAGAAGATGAAAGTTATTGTTACTTCTTTACAGAACTATATGAATCAGAATAGCGGAGTTCCTGTTCTCACTGTTTAGGCACTCATAAGTTGCAACTTTAGAACTTCTTTAAAAAAGATGTATTGAATCAGAGTTTGAACAGCGATCTAACTCATCTCCTGTGCTTCTTCCATCAGAACTTCTCTGCAAAACAAAATACTTATTTAGGGAGCATAATTATTTTTTAGTGTTTGTTATCATCAAAACTCTTACAAGGGTTGTAGAATCAAACTATATTCTAACAAATCACCCCTCAAACCCTAGATTAGATGGTGAGATGAATGCAATTGTGATCACCTACAATATGAACATTCAAAAGAACATATATACACATATTGATGTTAATTAAAAGAACACATGTACAAGATACACAATCCAAGGTGCTTGGTAATCCCTCAAGAGTAAACTTAAAGAGAGAACCAACCCTAATATGTGATCATGATGTATTGATAAAAGTAAGATGATAAGAAATCTTAGGGGGGGAAATTGTGGTATAATAAGGTCCTAAAATACGTGGTCTATATATTTTAGAAGGTTCAAATATTCTTCTCTATTCATCATTATCTAGTGGTTACTTTTATGACAAGAACAACCTATGTGATTTTAGGTAAAGACGTGATGATTACCTGGAGGTTGTTTCAAAATACTTTAATGAGTTATGCAGAACACATGGGATAAAAACGCATGAGACCGCATAGTTGTCATTGAGTTTTTGGGATAAGGATGGTGCTAGAGCAGCGTACTTGGTTGGTAAAGAGTTTTGTCGAGAAAACAAGATTAAAAACCAAGGGATGAAACTTTTAGAAACTATGTTTGAGAAAACTTAGTTTGAGATGAAGTTTCCTACTATGGTTACTAGTAGTAGTGATGGAACGGTTACAGAGGCCTCTAATTATTATTTGACTCATGATAAGGTAAGGAGGAAGACTATAATATCTTAAAGTGACGATTATGCTAGAATTGAGTATTGTGCTTTAAATGTGGATGAAGGGTTGCAAAATTCAGAAAGAATTGCCTTTAGGGAGACATTCGAAAGCCGGAAGAGTCAATGATGGTTGAAGAACCATGCTTATGGGCTTGCTAGATTACCTAGGCAAAAAAAGTAATTGGAAACAAATTGATGCAAGTAGGGAGATCAAGGTTCAAGGGTGTCTTGAACTTGATCAAGGTTATTGAATATGGTTTCAGCATGGTAGAGATCAACAAGGTGGTTGATGGTTAAAATCGACATCACCAAGATTTCAAGTCAAGGTGGAAATGTAGAAGTATGCCTTAAAACATTTTAGTGATTAAGAGAAAGAAGATATGTTTTAAGATTGTCAAAAATCAGGAAGCTGAAAAGTAATAGGAATGTCCAATTTAGGTGGTTCGCGAATATCGGGTATGGTTGATTCACTTTGCGGATCCATTCGTTAATGTTAGAATATTTGATATATATTTTATATTAATTTAGAAATAGTGTAAATTATTATAAAAGTTAAGTAAAAGTACACCAGAGATCCTAAAAGTTATTTTTTTGTAACAGGTTGGTCCTTTAAATTATTTTTGTAACAGCTTGGTCCTTTAAGCTGATTTCTACCTCATTTTTCTCACATTTTGAACATGTACAATATTGATTATTGTATTTCTGATTGCACTTCATCATTTTCATACCACTTAAACTAATTGTATCTACAATTAGCTTTTTCTTCTCTGTTAAAAAAGGATAAAGGTGCAGACATTTGATAACTTAAAGGACCAAGTTGTTGCAAAAAAAGGTTAAAAGACCAAGCTGTTAAAATCAAATAACTTAAAGGACCTCTGATATTTTTTTCCCAAAAAATATTATAAGATATTTATAATATTTTATTCTAACATTTAATGAATTCTGCTTTGGATTTTGTTACAAATTTGTTGGGTTTTAACAACTATAAACATGTATTTGTTATGTTATTGAACAGTGACAATCTTGAAAATTTTAAAAGGATTAGACAATATTTTTAAATGTTGTGGATTTATGTGATTACTGTATTAAGATCTGTAGAGATTGAAAAACACTTGACTAGAAAATATGATTTGTTATTTAGAATTTAGAAGATTATTTTTTTACTTATTTTTAATCTCTTGTAAAAAAATTTTAAATATATTAAATTGGAGAGTTACTCTCCTCTAGACATGCATTATTTGATATAAATAATAAATAAGAAAATAAGTCTTGTGTGTTTCTTGTCTTCTTTTATCTTCTTATTATGTTAAAGGTGGTTATTCTTAAAAATTATTTATTTTGATTGTCAAATTCTTTATCAGACACATCAATTTTTTTGAGGTGATTGAACTTTAAATACATTTTTAAAAGTGATTTTAACACTATATCTTTCAATTATTAATAGATAAATGATATACAACAAAACTCCAAAACACCAAATAACTTTCCTTAAAAAAACAAAATTAACACTCGGCAATCCTAGAATTTTCGTTAAATATTAATATCCCTCAAAACTTTCAAGTAACATTTTTTCTCCTAAAAATAAACACCGTAATTTAAGCCATGCACATTAAAATTATGTATGGCTCACGAGCCTTACGGGGGTATGTAGTATATATAGTAACCATTGTTGAGAAATAATAATCAGGAAGAAGGAAAAGATATAAAACAATCAACAACAACAACAAAGCAAATAGTTTAACATTTTTAAAGTTGAACTAGAAACAAAAATGTCAAACAAAATTGTTGCATTGTTGTTGTTGGTGTGTGTTGTAAATGTTCAAGGGATAGAAACTGGGAAATTGATGACGCATGAAGCATGCTACGAGTATTGCTACGCATCCATGATGTACCCCAAATTCATTGCCGATCCTATATGTAAATTACGCTGTAAATACCCCATGTATGAAAACCGACGTAAGTTTCAGTTCATCCTTTTTATCATGCGTCCTTATAATTTCATATATGATTGCCAAATGTATATATGTTCTTAGTTTTTCTGTTAATCATCTAACTTTCAAAATGTTTTTTATTTCAGCTCTTCCTGTTAATCCAGGACTAGAACAATCCTTGCACGTAAGGAAAACTGGTACTCCGGAAAATTCTCCGATCCCATCACCTAAAATTCGTTGAGAAATGGAAATTTTGTGATCGAATATGAATTACTATATCATGTTGATCCATGTCCCTTTTCCTCTTCCTTGTCATTTGTTGCCACCAGATATTTAAGATATTGTATCTCATAGAATAATGTGATAAACAATATAAACTAGATTGTAACCCGCTTGTTGCGCGGATGCAAATTAATTTTAATTTAATTTATCCTGAGTTTTTAATTTTAATTTTTTTTTATAATTATAGTCAATATATAAACTATAAATTTCTTTAAACAAATACAATCAATTTAATTTTTAACATCGGTATGAATTAATCGCTAATAAAAAGAATGTATATACTTCTAAGTTGATTGTAACATATAAGATATAATTTTATAAATTTAATAGCTATGAGAAAAGAGATAAGGTTGTGAGAGGGTAAATTAATTTTACACGGTCAATTAATCACAATAAATCACATTTTAATTTTAAATTTTTTAATAATAAAATATATTATTGACTTAAGTGTAAAGTAATTTTACACTGTCAATACATATAAATCAAACTTAATAACTATTAAAGATATCAATGACTTATATGAAAATAATGGATACAAATTAATTTTAATTTATTCTAGATTGAGTTTTAATAATTTTAGGATTACTTTTTGTTTTTTAAATAACTATTAAAAATATCATCAATGGCTTATATAAAAATTTTATTAATATGAAAATAATGGATACAAACGCAATGCACATATACAAATTATTTTTAATTTAACCTATACTGACATTTAATTATTTTATGATTAAATTATGTTTTTTATTTTATTTTATAGAATTATGTTAAAAAATATTGTAGTGATAATTTATACAATATTTTTTTATAATTTTTTAATAGATGTAATAGTTGGTGAAATTCACTTTTTATTTCTTTTACAATAAAAAAAAAGTTGTATTTAAAGATTGGTTTGGCATGTCCATCTAATATATTATAGAATTTTTAATCTATTTTCTTTTTGTTTTTTTTTCAGTTTGGTCAAAATGTTTTTATTTGTTTATTTTATATTTTGGTTTAGTTAAGTTTTGAAATTGTTAAAGTAAAATTTTAAAGTTAATTATATACAACAATAATAAAAAAGATTGTAATGAAGTTTACTATAAAAAAATTATGATTTGTGAATAGTTGATACAAAACCAGTAAATAATCATTTTAGTTTCATAAGAAAGAAATAATTGCAAGATAAAATATAATTAATATTCTTTACAATTTATTAAAATAACATGGTTTTGTCTTTGTCAGAGTTCGAACCTATTGACACGTCACAAGTGTATGACAATTGTCAGAATAGTAAAAAGATATTGAACCACACAGATCAATGTATAATTATTGAATTATATCCTATTGATGTAAATCTAGAGCAATCAAATAGTGGGAAATAAGATTAGCTTAAGTGAAAAAATACTCGAGTCAAAACAACTTATTTGAAAAGTATTTTTGAAAAAAAGCTTAATTGAAATTATAATAAGACAAACAGGACTTAGGGTCGTGATCCTTACTCAGACTTCCTTATATGTTCAGGTCACTTCTATTACGAGAATTCTAATGCGATTACAGAAAATAGATAAATATGAACACCGCCTACTTTCGTAGTGCGTTGTCTTATATGTGGCAAATAAAGCGTCGAAGGTTGAAATTATTTGTTAAAGACTCGTTACTTTTGCACATCTATAAAACAAGGTTTTTCTCAGTCTTATCTAAGCACTTTCGCTATATTAAACTTGACTGCTATAAACTCGTTATTTTCTCAATCTCATCCAAACGCTTTCGCTGTATTGAATTTAACTGTCTAAAAACCTGCTATCGGATATCGATCCATATCCTTTCAGACTATGATCGATATCTGAAAACACTTTACTTTTGTACAAGGATTTGAATGAAGACTCATGTTTTGGAAATAATATGTGAATAAATTTCTCGTAATGGATTGTGACAGATCATACAAATAATCATGAGATGATTCTCAGGACCCCTAGTCCCTGATAAACTACTCACTCGTGGTGAGGAATAGCACAAACAAAGTAATTTTCGGAGAAGAAAACATAATAGTAATAGCAATATGGCCGGAATAAAGAAAGCAATAAAATAGAACCTAAATAAAAGGGAAAACTTCAATAATCAAACTATTCAGTCGCTCGAAACGAAGCATTGTACAAAGCGATAAAATAAAAGTTACGATAAAAACTGGATGCCCTAAAACTCAACTACCTATGAGTTTAATAACCAAATTCTAAACACGACACAAATAATTAGCTTTAGCGCCATTTAAAACAAGAATTATCTCAATTTAGAATGTGCAAAGGTCCAAAAATGGTGATCAATCGAACCAAAAAAAGAAACAAAATAATTGGAAAGGCTCCTGTCAGTTATGGCATGTAATGGCTATTACGGGTGACCGTAACAGGCCACAAATTCTTGTATGGAGGCTTCAAAAAGGGGATTATGGGGGCCTTGCTATTACGGCTCGTAATGAAAATTACGGGTGGCCGTAACATCTCACAGATTTTTGTATGGAGACTTCTAACTTTTCTCCTTTTTACCGCGTTTCTTCTAATTGTTTCCCTTTTATCATCTAAATATCATATTAAGGCCTGAAAATAACAAAAGCACAATACCTAAGCATAAAGAATAGAAAAATGAAGGAAAAGCGGTTAAAAACGATGAAATAGAAAAGCGAAACAACTGATAAAAACGATATGAAAACCACATATCAAACTCCCCCAAACTTAGATGGTTGCTTGTCCTCAAGCAACAAAGTTCGCATAACGGACTTTTGGGTCAAGCAAACCAACAAATGAAAAAGTGTTTATGAAATATGAAGACGATACTCATACACGAGTCTTTGTTCAGAATTGTTATGGGCTAGTTCTTTCGGTACTCATCTAACGCCAAAAGTTTTTGCAAGAATACTAACTACAGTAACACTACGGACCTAAGATTCCCTTTGAGATACCTCTCTAACTGTGTTTTGTACTTAAGTATCATTTCCTATTTTCGTCCCTTTTGATTTTGAAAATCAACTTAAGCCAATAAGAATTATGATAATTGTTGTACCCCAAAATTTTCCCTCCCATTTCCTCAACATTTTTCTCATCACAAGACATTTAAAGATCAAGATACAATTAGGGTTTCCTCTGCTCAAGACTTCTCCTTGCACTGTGGACTCAAATTAGGGTTTGTGTTTGCCTAAAGATGTTTTGACCTAAAATACCTAAGATGACTTTCATGCTTCATATTGGACTCCCAAGTTTACCCATACCAAGTTTCAAGTCTTGATTCCAAGCTTTTCCCAGTCAATTGGACAGTTGACCTAGAAATCAGCTGTATTAGGGAAAAAGTCAATTGTGGCCAATTGACAGTCAAACCTCATGAAATTTGATCCACATCAACATTTTGAATTCACATGGACCATTTGATCAAGTTTGGATCACAATTCCACAAGAAATTTGATCAGATCACCAAAAGGGCAAAAAGGTCATTTTTAGGGTTTTGACTGCACCAAGGCAATTTTTGACTGTTTGACCTAGCCAATGGCAAACCAAGTTCACCTATGGACTCAAGGACCCCATGGAATTATCTTGACATGTTCATCAAGCTCAAAAGATCCCAAGTATACAAGATTGATAGTTGAATTTCCCAGTCAATTGATCAATTTTGACTGTATACTGAAAAGTCAAACTTTGACTTTTTGGTCAAAATCAAGAGTCAAGATTCATTTTTCATCAAAACATGCCAAATTATGAAACTTGTTCACCAAGAAATCACAAAATGCAAATTAGGGTTTGAAAATGGAATTTTTCATAACTTAGAATTTTTCTAAGTTATGAAAAACCCTAATTTTTTCCCAACTTTGCCCCATCTTTTCACCATGATCCATTGGGATTCAAACAAAAGTCAAAACATGAAATTTGTAGCTTGTTGCAAAATCTACAACTTTGATTCACAAAGTTTTCTCATTTGAAGCTTGTATCTCAAGTTATGATTTTTTGAATAAGGGCACTAAACCATCTTTTAACTTAGTGAAATTTGACCTATTTTGACAAGGTTTTCTACCCTACTTCAAGGCCACTTTTCATGCCCTTCCAATTGGAATTTTGATTTGCATTTCAAAGATGGATTGTAGTACACATTCCAAGCTTTCCAAAATGTCCAAGAACTCATCAAACAACCTCATAACTTGGGAGATTCGAATTTCACAAGTTGGCAAAAATTCACTTTTGTTCTTCATCAAGACATGTTCATAACCTTGCCAATTTGAAATCAGTTTGCTTTATGCTTGATTACAGGTCCTTGAACCATTTCATACTCAATAATTTAATGCATATTCAATGTGTTAAGGTCATGTTCTTTGTGTTCTAACATTGCATAATGGTTTAATCCTAAACTAGATAAAGTGGAATTTCCATTTTTGAAAAGTTTAGCTTTATGTCAATTGGTAAATCAAACAAGTACATAGAAGATCTGCTTAGCACAAGATTATGGGCATAACACACTGATCAAGAGGAGTTGATGCAGCACATTAGGGGGTCCTATACTGACCTAGGACACCAATTTGCTTTTGGTAGCTTAAGTGTGAAGAAAGGTCCATAACATATGCTATCCCTCATATCAGCAAAAGAACACAGCACAAAAGATATCAAACACATTCCATAGACCACATTGAAGCTTTTGCACGAGCCATTTCCCTTTCAAACACCCTCCATCTCAGAATCATCCTCAAACTGCACAAACAGGGGTGCCCCTGCAGTTTGAGTGCAATCTCTCAATCCCTTCAAGCATTTCTGTCCAAACCTGTTCCTCTACCTTCCTTACAACATATGCAAGCTATCCAGAAGCTAAGGCACGATCTGTAGTTGCTCTAACCACTTCCACCATTTTCACATCTTTGACTTGCAGGTGAAGTTCTATAGCTTGATACAAGAAGTTTCAAGACAAAGTGAGCATTGAAAAAGCATCCCTGGACTTCAAGGAAGCTTT